TCATTATCCTCCTTAATCCCCTTCTCAGTCCACTCATCAATTCCCTCCTCCTTAATCCCCTCCACTCCGGCTATCTCGTCCTCTTCTGTTTTCGTCTTCTGTCTTCCGTCCACTGTCCTCTCTTCCTCCTCAGTTCCCTTCACTTCTTCCGTTATCCTCTTCATCTCTCCCCAAGCATCAACGAAATGTTAATGCAGCTGAAAACGCTATACACAGCTGTCTTTTTTATTGAAGTGTATTGGTCTGCGCATTTCCTCTTGAGCTCATACTTACGAATGCCATAAAACACAGCCTTAAGAGGGATCCCTGTACGACTTTTGATACATCAACTTCATTTTTAATTTTGGAACATTGAACGAGTTTCGAGGCTTTTTTTTTTTAAGGTTTAGTACCACTAGGAGTTGAGCAGATGGCATACATGTCTGAATAGAAGACAGACAATAAGGACCCTAATGGAAATAAGGTATATTGACTTTGGTTATTCTAAGTTTATTCTACATAATTTATCACCAGTGTATTCCCACATTTGTTTGCCTTCACATCCAGTGAAGTAATTTATACATCTCTGTAAAATCATTTGTTGATACTGCTGAATAAAGCTTGAGGTTGAAGAAGGGAAAGAGAGCGTTGGGACCCTAGGGTAGAGAGGTTTGGTAAGAAAAAAAGGGTTGGGGAGAAGAGAGAGGTTTGGTAAGGAAAAGAGGGTTGGGGTGTGTGATGATGCTGCGTGGGGGAGATGTTCCCATGTTTACATCTGGCATCTGCCACCGGAAGTGACTCCAGCTTGTGTGTTTTCAATCACCCCACCCCGCCTCCTCTTCCACCCGGCCTCTTCCACCCCGCCTCCTCTTCCACCCCGCCTCCTCCATCCATCTCGCCTCCTTTTCCATCCCGCTTCCTTTTCCATCCCGCCTCCCTCTCCTCCTTCATCCCGCCTCCTCCTCCATCCCGCCTCCTCCTCCATCCCGCCTCCTCCTTTATCCCGGTGGCCTGGTGGGTGGCCCGGTGGCCTTATGGCTAAAGCTCCCGCTTCACACACGGAGGACCCGGGTTCGATTCCCGGCGGGTGGAAACATTTCGACACGTTTCCTTACACCTGTTGTCCTGTTCACCTAGCAGCAAATAGGTACCTGGGTGTTAGTCGACTGGTGTGGGTCGCATCCTGGGGGACAAGATTAAGGACCCCAATGGAAATAAGTTAGACAGTCCTCGATGACGCACTGACTTTCTTGGGTTATCCTGGGTGGCTAACCCTCCGGGGTTAAAAATCCGAACGAAATCTTATCTTATCTTATCCCGCCTCCTCCTTCATCCCGCCTCCTCCTTCATCCCGCCTCCTCCTCCTCCATATCGCCTCCTCTTCCGCGCCTTTTCCATCCCGCCTCCTATCTAATTTTGTTGCTTATTACCTATTTCTAAAACTACCTAAAGTATTTGTTTCATTCAAACACCATATTTGCTCTACTTTTGGCAAAACCAGTGTTTTTTTTTCTATATCTTTTCTAAATCTATATTTGCCGAAGTTGTCTATTGCTGTGAGATCTGCCATGGTTAGAAGTGTACTCTATTCAACATTTTACTTTAATCCCTTATTTTCCATTTAAATAATTTATTCATACCTTTCCTAATTCTGCGCCTTCATGGAGAACGTATTTCGGTGCTCTTAATTTATCATCGTAGTGAACACGTGAAGATTGTATGTTATAGCTTCATGGTAGAAAGTTCGGCTCACGACAGAAGTACTTGTGATCAGTCTTGGGGAATTGGAGGGTCTGGTGTGTATAGACTTCTAACATCTGTTCCCCTTGTTTATCTAGCAGTAAATTGACACATAGGTGATGTTGACTGTCGTGGAAGGATTTAAGGACCAACTGAATAAACCACACTGATATTATTATTATTATTATTATTATTATTGATGATATTTTTGTTATTATAAGCAGGCACAATACCGAGACAGGAACAGTACACAAATAATGGTCCATGTCAGACCGAAACGTCTTCATAAGTTTCATACTCCAATGTGCAGGTTATTTGTATATTATTGTTTATTTATTATTATTATTATTATTATTATTATTATTTATATTATCATAAGAGCACTATACCCGTAAAAGTCATACAGCGCCTAGGGGAATTCAAGGCATTTAGGTTCAGTCCAAGGAAGGGGAGCACCGGTTCAGTTCCTTAGATCAAGAGCCCCTCACCGGCATCAAGGAGCCTCCCTTCAGGGGTGATCCTAGGTTACTTCACCGTTATACAAGCTAGGGTGACTGACATAAAGTTAACTAACCAATAATGATGATGATAATAATTATAGTAATAATAATTTCTACATTTCTACATTGGCATACTATATAGAAACCCTGTGAACAGGGGCAGCAGGTGTAAGGAAACATGCCCAACGTTTTATCCGTGCTAGCATCGATCTCTGATCCCTCAGTGTGTGAACTGAGGATGCTACAATCAAGTCACGATGCCACAAGAAAAAAAATAAGATGGTGTATTGTAAACAATTATTTACACGGGAAAAAACAAAAGCCAAATCACAGGATTGAGCGTCTTAGCGTGGAAGGCGGGGGCGATTTGATAGCGAGGAAGTCGGGGAAAAAAATTGTGCGGGCGAGACCCGCATACTCTGGTGACAAAACTGAGATGAGTTGTGTTAAGTTAACTGGCAGAGTGGTGTCTAGGGATGGTCGTAAAATTATGTGATTGGATGTTGGTGTGTGTGTGTTGTGTAGTACGCTTAAAATGGTTGCAGAGGGTCGATTCATAGCCCTTGCACACATGCTTCGCTGTCTTACTAGTCCACTATCCCTCTCCAATGCTTATCGTACTCATTTCAAAGACTATGTTTGGATCCTGCCTCCACTATGTTGTTTGTGGTGAGAGACAGAGCGAGAGGTGGGGAGGATGGGGAGTGCACAAGTGCCTTACGCTGTGTCATAATAGTTTATATGTCTATTGTTTATTTAAAGGATCTTTCAGTGCACTGGCCTATCTGTGTAGCAGTGGACTGTGTGTGTGTGTGTGTGTGTGTGTGTGTGTGTGTGTTGTGTGTGTGTGTGTGTGTGTGTGTGTGTGTATGTGTGACCACCGGATCGGTCCCAGTACTCTTTGCATTTAGTTACTCTCAGAGTGTATTGGAATTCTCATTTCACATAAATTGCAAGTATATACTTGCATCCCTTCTCAGCAGCTGCATGCAGACTGTGAGAGCGCCCAAGTGCCCTGCCACACGAACCAGTTTTATTTTAAGTAGTATCCATTCACAACCAAGACTCAACTTATTAATGATAGCGTTCATAAGACTCTGAACCAATGAGTGGATCGTCATGAGATTACGACCAATATATGGGGATCATTTCCCGTTGAACTAATTAAAAATAACAGACTAGAATGTTTACTACGTTGTTCCTTTTGTTTATGCTTGTATTACGTCAGTTTAGCTGGTTAGTCATCCCTGTGCCCACACACACTCCACTCACCACCCACACATTCGTCTCCCGTACATTGACCACTCGCACATTCACCACACGCATTCATCACACACATTCACCACCCACATCATGTTCACGAGGGGAGGGGGCAACATAATCAACATCACAAACACGTCGCAATCCATCTCGAGGTACACGGTTGTCATCCCCCACATGCAACCCCCAATCCCCCTCCCCCACACAGCGTGACCCTGAAGCCCACACACCGGAGGTAGTGGGTAGGGAACATCTCTTTCAAGATTAACAGAATTGTATTACTCATTTTAAATGTTAGCTTGGACGGCTGTCACCGCTCCTCATAATATAATCAGAAACACGAGGCTTTCTCGCCTCCGGTTACGTTACCGTCATCAACGAAGTTGTACAAAATATAAGTGAGTGTTTATTAATATTCGATGCCTTAAGTAAGGCATCACTGTTTTTTAAAATTATCAGATAGACGACATTACGCCGATACCTTTTACCTGACACACGATTGCTGAACCATTATGACATGATCTTGGATGCACTGGATAACAAAGTAAGATACATTTACGTAACGTTGAGGAGCAACATTTTAGAAACGTTTCGCTCACTAGGTTTTTTTTTACCAGTCCAATATAGAAAAACGGGAAAATATATAGTAGCACGGAGACCTGTTATAGTGTAGGCGGGGTGCGAAAAAAAATTGTTAATGACTCACGAAATCGTAATAACACTATTGCAAACAAATCACAGAACGGGTGGGACTTGAATCCATGGCCTGTGAGTTTTATGACTCGCCCGGTGGTCTGGTGGCTAAAGCTCCCGCTTCACACACGGAGAGCCCGGGTTCGATTCCCGGCGGGTGGAAACATTTCGACACGTTTCCTTACACCTGTTGTCCTGTTCACCTAGCAGCAAATAGGTACCTGGGTGTTAGTCGACTGGTGTGGGTCGCATCCTGGGGGACAAGATTGAGGACCCCAATGGAAATAAGTTAGACAGTCCTCGATGACGCACTGACTTTCTTGGGTTATCCTGGGTGGCTAACCCTCCGGGGTTAAAAATCCGAACGAAATCTTATCTTATCTTATCTTATCTCAAACCCCACCCGTTCCGTGATTCGAATGACGTCACCTGAGGGCTGTGTCGTGATGTTTTAAAATCAATTTATCACGTCGCAGAGCATGTGCAGCATGTGTCATGTGTTCGCTCTTGTCGAAGGTACGCCATTTTGATCCAAGGTTGGGCTTGTTAGTGAGTGACTTTTTGTACACTTGTGCACTTTAGCGCTTGTTTTCGAGTATAATAAAGACACACTGGGCACGCGCAAAGTTCTCGTGTATAATGAGCAAAATTCTTCTCTTTTAAAATGAATTAATCTTAAGGAAAAAACGAACAGATCAGTAAACAAATCAAAAGCATTTAGTGTTGAAACTTGGAAGCCTCTTTAAGATTTAGACCAAACCAATGAGAAAGTATGTGTGTATTTGTGGCAGAAGAGTCTTCTAATGTAAGATTTCGTTGTTGTTGCAGAGTGCAGAATGGCTGGAGCTGAGGGTGGTGGAGCTGACGCCGGGAATGGTGTACCTGGGCGCCAACCTGGAGGAGGCCACCCAGCTCTTGCACGCCCACGAGGACGTCCTCACCAAGCTTCAGGTAAGTCACGCTTGTCCTCTCTCCTTCTCCTACCTTGCTTGGTCAGGGTCACAGTCAGGTCCCGATCATCCTCTCTCCTCGCCCACCCTCCCTTGGTCATGTCCACAGATCCTGACCCTCTTCCCCTTCCTCTCTAGGTCAGGGCCACAGACAGGTCCTTCCTCCCCACATCCCCCCCCCCTTCGTCTTCCTAGGTTAGTGGGCCACAGACAGGTTCTGCCTCCCCAAACCGGATATAAAAATTACTTAAGAATCCTGGTTAGAAGTAATCCGAAGCCATAATCCCGATGCTTCAGTGTTAATAAAGCCAATACAATGTTTGCCTTATATCAAGACGTTAATGCTATTGTAAAGTTACACTACAGCTTTAAATTATGTTAGTAAGTCATTTTCATTATGAGGCACAACTCTAATCTCCATAATACACATGTATATCAAAGTGCTGGAAAACAAAGACGGATGACAAAGTTAATCCACACGATCAAAAATATTTTCGTACGAAGACAGTGAAAACACACAAGAATAGCTATGGGCTTTTCCATTTAAGAAGAATTTGTATCAGATGTATTGAAAAATTTACTTTTATTATTACGTAGTGTTATTATTATTAAAATAGTAATGCATTGAATGACGTAGAATGAGAGACGATATGATTTATTACTTACTTTCTTATTTGTACAGTCACTGTATTGTGTCATTTTGTTCTTTAAGAACTTTCATGGTCGCCAGTACCTTGCAAGGCATTAAATTAGAGCTAGCATCCCCTTCCAAGGATCATTCTTAACAAGCATTGGATAACACCTAAGGGTTTAGCACTTATCTATGAAAATAGATAAGTGGCCCACTTGAAAAGTAGGCAGGAAAGAGAGTAAAAAGTAGATAGGATAGAGAGTAATAATTGTTGATGTAAATTTGAAGTGCCTCCCAAGGGCCAGTAGATCGGCTGCAATGTTCCTGTAATGTTTTTTCTGCTAAAATCTAAATAAAATCACTAATACCATTAGCATTTCTGAACAATAAAAGCACGATGTAACTATGGTTAATAACAGTTTGCAAAAGTATGCAGGATTTGCTGCAGTCACAGTTGTAATGTGCAAAGGTACTGATACGTGAATATAGAAACATTCACTGAGATTAGGTTATGTAAGATTTGTCAGGAAACAGGACGAATGTTTCCTGACGCAGATCTTAGCGGTATGATGACCCGCAGCTGGAGCTTTTGGTCATCTGACCGAGGCCTTCCGCTAGCTTTAAAAATCAAAGTTATAATTATAACTATTTTTCCTTACATTTTCACTGAGAGGTGTATATCTCTGTATATATACTGAGAATTTAATTTTAAGTATTAAAGACTGGTGGAGAACAGTTTCCATGATCTTTAGAGGACAGTTAAGCAACCATATTGAAACAACCAGGGATGACGGTGTTAACTTTATTGGCTGAAATATACCAGTGTCTTTACGGTGCTGTCCATTAAACTCGCCGCTCAGGGCAAAATACAAAATCTAAAATCTAAATCTAATAAGCTTATCAGTGGCGCAATACTTTCTTCGAAACCGTCCACGTAGAGATATTATTCTAAAATATAGGTCATAATTTTTCTACGGGTATCGAGTTTCTTCGCCATTTAACGACTTTATATTAAGTTTTCTTGTCTTCACCATCCACACGTTCCTTTAGAGTGAGTTCACGTGTTCTCTACACTAGCATAATGGGCCACTTGGGAGAAATATGAGACCTCAACCTAGCTTCTTTTTCGCCTCCTAAATTCCCGCCCAGTATGCCATTCTCATGAGTAGAGTACAAGTATTTCTCTAATCACATGCAATCATTAAATATGAAATACCCTTCTGGGGGGGGGGGAGAAATGAAGGCAGCTGACTAAATAAAAATACTCTCAGGTGATTCCCATCTTCAGCATGTATTGAGATTTGCTAAAAATTAAATAAGGCATACATAGATAATGTCACCTTGTTGAAGCAAATGTTAGGTTCGAGCTTTAGAGTGAGCCGAGATAAGAGAACAGCTCTTAAATTGTAAAATACGTGTTACCAACCCTCGGCCCTAATCCTGTAGAATCTTTAAGTGTTAGTTTAATAGCTGGAGGGAGTGAGGATAGGAGAGAGAGAGAGAGAGAGAGAGAGAGAGAGGGAGGGAGGGAGGGAGGAAGTGAAGGAGGGAGAGAAGGGAGGGAGGGAGGTTGGCGTAGTAACACCCTTGAGACACCACCCTTTCAGAGCAAGAACATGGGTCTGGTAATAGGTGCTACATTAACATGTTTAAAGTGCCCCGGGCTGCCTGCTGGCTCTCCCGGCTTCACAAGCTGCCTTCCATCATTGCGCCACATAACTGAAGCGAATTACGTGAATTTGAGAAAAAATGACATATTGGTAGTGAAAATTGATTTTGCCTGGTGTGCTGGCTTCGATTCCCATAGTACTTTTTTTATATTTTAAATTGTTTAATTCACCTGATTGAAATATTAGTTTGTGTTAAGAGGTATGTTAGGGGGAAAATAGCCAGGTTAACTTGGTAACTAAATGGCATAAATGGTTTTGAAAAGTGACAAGTTGAAGATTGAGACACTTATGCAACATATGGGATTCCAGGTTGAGGGACTGATTACCTCAGACTCCTCTCCTTACACCTTTCTCCTTTGTATTGGACTGATGAAGTCACTGTGTGGCGATACGTTTCATCACTGAAGATTCCCATATGTTGCATAAGTGTATCAATCTTCAACTAAATGGCACCAGGTATGAGGTCTACCTGGAGGGTATTCTGGGGGTCAACGCCCCCGCGGCCTGGTTCATGACCAGGCCGCAGTAAAAAGCGATTTGGAACACCATTTTGTCCTTCAAAAACGGCTGTTTTAACACGAGTCAAAGACATCCATGCCAGAGACCTGAATTTATTTACTGTGGTTTGGTTAGGTAAGGTTTGTCAGGAAACAGAGCAAGTGTATCCAGACGCGGGTCTTAGTCATATGATGACCCGCAGCTGGAGCTTTTGGTGGTACTCTTTGATTTTCATATAAAAAACTAATGTTTATTTCTATCATTGTCGCTATGTTTTGAACTTGAATCACTAGTTTATTAATAAATTAAACATCTGCAAATTATACAGAAATTTTGTCCAGCCTCGACAGTAAAAAGCTTTTTATGATCGATACAAAACTTACGTTCAGTCATCATTTATTCACGCAAAAGTTTGTTGTGGCTATGAAGAATGCCCTTTCCCCAGTCCTTATACAATGAAATGTTTGAATGTCGAGGCGTGGTGCTGACAGCTACTGGTGTAAAGACACAATATACAGAACAAGCTTTCATTGGCACTACTTTTAGGTCAGTGTTGAGCATATAGTTATGACTTGATAAAGCTTGTCTCTCTTCATAGCCGTTATGTGACTGCTGGGATTGGGTATGCACATTGACTCATCAACACACACACACACACACACACACGACACTGTACACCGTGTATGTCAGACCCGTATTGAAGTATGCTGCACCAGTATGGAACCCACATCATCAAATACATAAAGAAATTAGGGAAAGTGTAAACGTTTGCAGCAAAACTAGTTCCAGAGCTGAGGGGTATGCCCTACAAGGAGAGGTTAAGGGAATTCAACCTGACGACACTGGAGGACAGGAGGGACCGGGGAAGGGGGGGAGGGACATGATAACGACAAATACTGAGAGGAATTGACAAGGTGGATAGGGACAGAATGTTTCATAGATGGGACACAACAAGGGATCACATTGTCCCGCTTCAAGAAACAACACAACGTACATGTCACCTTATCCACTCAGCCATCGATAGCTGAGTAGATAAGGTGACATATACATTGTGTTGTTTCTTGAGGCGGGACAATGTGTAGTGGGGTCGAACCCTGGCCTGCTGCAGTTTGGTAAATGATTCAAAACCACATGTTTCGTGGTTATATGTACGAGACAGAAAAATGTTGCAAATAAACGGTACGGGTGGAAACATTAGGATGTGTTTCCTTAAGACTCTTGCTGTCCCTGTTCGCCTAGCAGTAAATTAGGTACCTGGGTGTTAGTCGACTGGCCTAATTTGCCCGAAATGCTTTGCATAACAAGCGGCTTTCTGTATAGTAATATGTCATTGATGTCAGCTAGGACTGTAAACCTTGTACATGTACTTGTAGAAATAAAAAATAAATTACATTCAATACAGATTTATCTTTCCTTAATAATAATAATAATAATAATAATATAATAATAATAATAATAATAATTGTGAAAATTTGTGTGGACTGCCTCCAAGTGAGTCGCCTACCCTGACAAACTGTTGACACCGAGCTCTGAGGTGGGTACCTCAGCCTCACAAGTGGCTTATAGGACAGATTTTCACAAATGATTGGTAATGCAAGAAACCTCGCCTGCATGCACGTATAAAGGACTAACTTACTTGGTGTTGCAGCATATATCCTGATCTTCACTTCCCTAAGCTAGCCTTAGCCCCTTTGAACTCCCCCTCAGAAACCACGTGCAACCGGGAGCATTAATTCCTGCAATATTGAATCGTAATTAGTGTCCTGCCTGCACCTCAGAAATTCCTATATCCAAGAGGGTATGTATCCCCTAGTATAACTATGCAGACTCAGACACTAGCTTCAGACGGCTCTGAGACACTGGTACTTACTGGGCATGCTCTCTCTGTTGCACACCGGGCCCACAGTTAAAACTCACCCACGATCTCCCAAGACACTGGCCAGAATCTACGAGAAAAAAGTGAAGATCTTGTCTTACTGTATGGCCTTATGGAGGAGGTCATCTACGGTACATCGAGGTGCCTCTACCAGATTTCCCCAGGTCTCAGATGTGAAGACATGTGGGGGCACCATCTGCTGATCACTGCACGTCTTGTCCAGTTGGTGTCTGTCGTAAGAAGAACGCTATTCTCTCTTTGTGACCCGCGCCTCCTCAAACAAGCTAGGGCTGCCAGTTCTCCCTAGCTAACTTATCCTAGTGTTTGCCTACATTATCGGCCTATTACTACCTATGTTAAGGTCTTAGGTCTACTTTATCATTATCTACAGATGCCTTAGTAAACCTAATATTAGTGTACTACCAGTAAAACTACCTACTCCTTCCCTGAAGAGTAAATCTATAAATTAAATACATGCCTACCAAGAATCCATCGCTGACAAGAGAATGCTTCCCTGTTT